AGATCGTACCCTTTGATTTCGTGTTAAAAAAGGATTAATTTGAAAATAATTTGAAGAAATTTTATTGCATTTTTCGGGAAAAAATCCAATCCGGTAAATCTGTGTAAGTTATGGTTAATTTTCATTAGATCACAACCCTTCGCCTGAACTCTTTGCTCGCATCTCTATCTTACACGGATTGAAACTACATTTTTCAGAAGGGAACTGTAAAAGCAACCTGTGCCAAGACACAATCAATGCTGATGCCACATTCAATGAGGGTAAAACCTTACCATCCGTTGCTTCTGCCTTTGACCTTTCCTGCCCCGTGATCACAAAACCGAAATATAAGTAAAATCGATTTTTTCCTTGATTTTCGTGCATTGTCTCATTTCATTTTATTTTTCGCCCAAAATCCTTCGGTTCGAACTTTCTCGAAACAATAGGAGTTCAATGACAAAATCGAGAAAAGGTTTATCAAGTTGTCAAACTGTTTGCAGTACGGTTTTTGTTGCCACGTCTCAGGGACTTCGTTTGTCATTCCATTGAAAATAGATTAGATAGATTGTTTCGCAGAAGAGTTGATTGAGAATCGAAAATTGAAGGAAAATTAATTGTTTTTCTCAAGCCTTTCGCACACACAATTCACGCTTAAAACGAAGTGAAACGCTCGGCCATTGCCTTCGAAAGGGTAGAACTCGATAAATCGTAGTTCGATGAGCGTGAATGCATTGCCAATTCAGTGCCTTTTCAATGGCAAGCAATTATGTTCGGGGGGATTCATTCGATGAAGATGTCTGAAATTACGAGCAAATGACAAATGTTTCAATACACATCAAATGTCTCGAACAAAGACCACGCACATTCATTTGATGTTACTCGGCATCAAATACACATTTCAGTGTATTCGTAGTCAATGTCGATGTATGTGTCACGCACACAAAATAATTAATTTTCTTACTTTGGCTGCGTTCAGTGGTTTTTCGGGTTTTGGCTGCTTTGACAACAATCACGGTGGCAATCAACACCTGAACGTTGATAGCAGTTTGGGAATCGCAGTGTGGCCATGACAACATCAACTAATCAAAAGGGAAGAGACGACACAACGCTCTGCGTATCTTTAAATTGTGAAACCGCAAGAATTTTGCGCCATCACAAAGAATGTGACAATAATTGAAAACGTTGGACATAATGTCGACTTCCTTGGTATGAAAATGCTTCCAAGAGTTTTGCACTTTAAAGCAATTGTTTGTGGTCATCAGAAACAACGTGCCAAGAGAATTTCCAATTAATCAACAATCACCGGCTTTCCACAAATCACACTATAGACACAATTGAATTGCATTATAATTATATTCATACGCAGTAAGTACACACAATGTGTACTACACATTGAGCTGTTTCAACAATTACAAAGATAATCACAAATTCATTTCAAATGAAAATATTTTAATAAACTTCTCCCGTCCGAAGCCGATTCCAATTATAATATAGAATTTCATCAACAAAAGACCGCCAATTTCGAGAGAGTATGTGTTTCATTTGCCTCTATTCCGATTTCTTTTATGGTTTCCTACGGATGCTTTTATTGTACTACAACAAACATATTCACACAATTCGACCAGAAATGAATGTTTGCCGATGCTGTCTCCTCACCCTGCGCACTACTCTGTTTTTCTTTCTAGAATCTCTAGGAAATGTGAGATCGGTGAAATGTTCAGTTTACATTTAGATGTCACGCAATTCAAGGGTGCACAAACATCGAGCAAAGACATACATCGTTACAAATCTATTCATTGCTTTGAATCCCTAACCAAAATTGAAGTTCGCATCGTACTTTGTCTAGCAAGAGGTAACTGAGAGAATGATAAGAATACAGAAATATCTGTCGGCGTTCTTCGTGGCGCAAACACAGTATTGGTGATCGACAATTCGACAAATGCACAATGTGTGTTACTCACGTTCGATGCCGTTTTTATGTGACTGTTGAGAGCCAGCAGGAGTCTCCAGTTTTTTTCATACGACTGTTTTTTAGGGCAACCTTAGAGCTCATCTATGAATATTATAGTACAGTTATAATTTTCACGCAATAAATTTTTTCCATTTAGCCACACATTTATAACACACCAAACACACACAAGTTACATGACATAATTTAACCTAAATTATGAATATATAATTAGAGTTGCGCCAAAGAGTATGCCTTGGATTGAAATAATGGCATTTTTATTTTAACCCCGAAAAAGGAGATACAACTGGCAGACGAGCATTCATAAATTAGTCAGTGAACAATGGAAAGAGTTCTTCTAATTTACATATTTCAACAAATAGAGCAAAGAATTTTTTTTGCAGGTTTTCTCTGCGTCTCCGAACTACTAAACATATGCTAAAATGCTTGTCTTCCAAATAGATTGGTTCCCTGTTTCTTTACGAAGATCTTGTTAAAGCAATATTGTATTGCAAAAAAGTCACTTTTGTCGAAATTTACATAATCAAGTGGTGTAGGGATAAAACGTGAAGATAAAAAAGAAGAATATGAACATTGAAAACGATTCATGTGGAAGAAGTTATCACCTTAATTTAAAAACGAGGATTACAATTTATTGTTAATTTGTGCAGGAAATTCGTCTTTCTCCTGCGAATCATATGGTCTTCGGTTGCATTGTCACATTCTCTATTGGAATAATTCAAATGAAATCACATACAAATGAATACATTTAAAGCGAAAAATTCATTTCATGAAACTGAATACAAAGAAGAAAACAACATTGAAATAAGTTGAAACTGGTTGTTCGAGTTAGCGAGGAAAATTGTTTTTAAATAAACGTTATGTTCACATGAATCGACTGATGATAATCGTATTTCTGGCCCTGCCTACCATCCTCCATTCTCCGCATTGTGGGAGAGCAAGAGCCATTTTCCGAGAGAGCTTGAAAATTCCTTGAAAATAGCCCATCTCATTCAGATAGCTGCAGATAAATCTGGGGCGAAAGACATTTTATTTCTGCGTAGAATGCCATTGCGCTGAAGCGAGAAAAGATACACAGACAGAACGCAAACTCATGCCAACACACAGCACTGATACAGTAGATAATACTACAACGGGGATATGAAATGCTCGCAATGTTGCTGTGGCAATTTTTTTCTCTACTCGCTATATGTACAGACTCTTCTGGTTATCCAACCCCAAAGTAATATCATCGGATGCGAAATCATCATCCATCCACCAACCAAAAATTGAGAAAAACCACTTGAGTTGGTTGAAGAAAAAGCGGTAAAAGTTGTATCCTCTATTTTTGGGACGCGCACATCTCGTACATACACATCTCTATATCATTGAAATGAAGACCACTAACACCAGCACAGAGGATGGATATACACTTTCTGTTTGCTGCGAGACCACAATATCATCCATAATCGCACATCTCTCAGTCAGCTCAATGTTCACCAGCGCGCACCGACTATACGGAATAAAGCAGACAATATACCCGAAAGATACTAGAGTGTATAAGTGCGGTTAGCCGAATACGAGCATGTGGATGAGCACCATCTGAGCATGAGCTCTCTCATCGTACATAACATTTTCCGCAATTTTCTTTCATATTATGTAAAAAAAAAGAATGTGATATCCACAAAACGGCACGATGTGCGAAATGCGAGAGGTGTGAAGGGGAAGGAAACACTCTGCATCTCTCTTTCTTTCTTTTCTCTCATTTTACATTTTCCACATGAAAATTGCGAACAGCAGAAGAGATATCAGTTTTCGATTCGGCTGCATACGAAGAGCTGAATCGTTTTATATACCATTTTTCGTTCATTGATACGATGACAACCACACAATGAAGTCACCGATGATAAACGATGATATCAAAAGCACACGCCTTTTTATTACAATTGCCACAACTGGATTTACCGATACGAATTTTGGGAAAAATCAAATTCGGAAAATTCGCTACACAGTGAACACACCGCGTGTATCTTCATATAATTTGGGAATTGACTTTGTACAAATAAAATGGAATATTGATTTTTGTTTGCCAACTTTTCCCATTTTTTCCATCAGCGACAACCCGATAAACCGCAAAAGAAACGATGCTGACGAAAAATACCGAACGCACATTTTCCTCAAAATGACAATGGATTCCTTTTTTTCCGTTCGTTCGTTCAGTGTGTTTAAGTTTGCGATTCATTGTAACATAACGATTCCGAGCCAAACATTGGTGCGGATGAGTCGAAGCAGAGCAAATCTCCTAAATGTTTGCGTACACATCTGATACGTATCACATGCAAACACACAAAGATGAAAACATCCCTTAAAGACCGCCCAATGCCACTCCCTTTTGTTGATGTGCTCTGTGTTGTTTGAATTGGAAAACGTTGAGAGATACATCGACGGTAAAGCACAACAACAATGCCAGCGCAACATTCAATTCGGCTCGTCACGATGTCTTTCTATTTTCCACACGCTCTCTCTTCACTGGTGTGTACGCGCTTCGAATATATCTGACAGCCGGGAACGAGAAACGGTACGGGCAAAAACCGTAACCGAGAAGCGCATACAAAACAAATGAATACAACAGAATATGACTAAATGCGCTTAATACGGAATGTATCCGTTTCTCTTGTGCCATTGTACGGGATAGCAAATGGATTTATGTGTGTAGTAAGGCTGAAAGGCACGACTACGACTCTGTGGAATCTATACGCTTGCAGCCACAGCGGCAGCAGCAGCTAGCATTGGTAACGTGTGCGTGCGCGTGTGTAAGTGCTCTGCTCTGTGCAGTGACAATACAATCGAATCATTTTCGTGCGATGATTATATGCCAAAACTATATCAATGTGGCATCGGTAGTTAAATATAGTATCTTTTTGGATGTGGATGTGTGCGTTTGTGTCCGGGCTGGATCAGTGTGATCACTGCGTACGTTCGTGTGTATGTGTTTTTGTGGTGTATGGGAGAGAGAAGGACAGAGTGAGAGTGAGCGAGCGAGCGAGTGAGTGTGTTGTAACCGTATGCTTTCGTACATAGGCAGAGTTCAGAATAAAGAGAAGGGGATGTTCGTCTGCCCCTTGGCATTTTGACAATTAAATCAAAACAATTTTTCAAGCATCCTTCTAACAACAACAACTGATTCTCGGTCGCTGTGCTCGCGATACTATACAGTAGTTGCTGTTCACACACAGCAGACAGACAATACCAAAGCGGATGCCAGAGCGAGGCCTATCAGAGTTTTACTGTACCATTCGCTTCGAATCTGTGCAACTGAAACATTTCGATAGCGACATCATTGTGGTGACAACGACCGACCGACCAAACGATCTCTCTTATAAAATAACAATTTTGTGCATGTTTGTGATTATCTAAAATTTAAACATATTTTTTTTCTGCTGTAGTGCCATATTTTATTTTATTTATTCGATCGATTCGAACGAAGTTATTATCAAGTTTTATTGACAACTCTTTCTATTGATGAAGTGACTGAAAAACTATTGTGAGATCTTGATTGTGCAAAACAAAACGTGTTCAAAGCGAGAAAAAAAATCACCAGTGTGTTTCATGAAATTCTAAAGCGCAATATTAAAAGTGAGATCAAAGTGAGATGACAAAAGTGTAGAAAAATACGAACTCTTCGAAATATTTATTTTAAAAAAATTAAACAAAAGCATTCAACATGAATTTGTCATTATCTTCATCATATGAAACAACAGGTATTGTAATAATTCCGCAAAGTTTCATGAAAAAAGTCGTTTCATATACTTCCATCGTGACAAAAAAAATATAACGAAATCGTATTTGATATTATGACCGAAAAATATTTTTGAGCTCCGAATTTTATTCGCACGCAAAGTTGAAAAAAAAATTAATACTGTCCTGCTCATTGGATCTAACACCAAAAAAATGAGAAAAATTTAAATTATATTCGATTCTAAATTTTCTTTAAGTTCATTATTCAAGAATGAATATGTATCGCAACCAATTCTCAAACAAATGCTCGGTCATCGAATTCTACGAAAAATATAAAAAATCTCGCAACTAAGATAAAAACAGTCAAAATACTACATCAATTGTTCGAAGTTGATTTCTTTGCAAAAGTGTAATTGTAAACGTAACTATTCACAGCAGACCTGATTGAATAACTCGAACGAAAATTGATTGCAATTTCGAAGTGAGCCACAAATGAAACCGGATACTATTGTTGTTTTCATTTAAATTAAATTGTTCATTACTTTATTGGCGACACGTGATTCCAATATGTTGATTGTTTAAATGTGATTGAATCGAGTCGGTGATGAAATAACGTTCTCTTAGTTTTCTGGCTAATTACAATTTACCTGGCCTGGCAGTGACAATGAAAAATTCTAACTGTGTGGCGTTGCCCCTCACAATTCTCCTACCGTTAAAAATATCCTTCGATATTTTCGACGACCATTTTATTGACCTGAAATGAAAGAGTTTTTTCCGTTTGATGTTGTTATTTTGCTTGAATGCTTCTTGTGCTTCACGAAAAATTAATATTTATGCGAGCATTTGTTTTGTTTTGGTTTCGTTAATTAACAGGTGGTAGCGGAGACGAACTCGACATGTCGAAACGAAGTGAACGAAGTAGAAGTTCATTGCCGGACGATTTTCACCCGAATTTTCTGGTTCGCAAGGTAAAACATTCAACTTGATCTTGAAACAAGCTCCGTTCCGTTTTCTTGTTATTGTTTGAATTTGGTGAAGTAATCGATTTTTGTTATGTCAACTTGTGCTTGTTTTCTCGTTTGTTTGATTGAATTGTAATAGCGAGAGAGGTCAGCTGAACGGATGCCAATCGAACTGACCACACAAATACCACCACCGCCCGAATTGGATATACAAAATGGATCGATTCATGCAAAATTCACGCTGCCGCGCGGCTACCGATTTGGACCATATGCCATCAAATGGACCAATGAACCAACAGATAGAAATGTAGCGTGGGAGGTGAGTAACCAGAACAAATTCACAGTTTTTTTTCTTTAAGTAGAGCATAGAATCACGGTCGGACGAAGAATTTACAAAGAGAGAAACATAATGTTAAAAGGAAATCACCCCTCGAATATACTTTGGTTTTCGTAATTGTTTTCGCATCATTAACCAGTCAACACATTCATCAACCATCACCGAGTGACTTCGGCGGCCCGAAGCACACTTGCGCACACAAATTGACGCGAAATCAAAGTGAATGCCTTAAATGTAATCGAAGCATAAAAGGTTCCAAATGTGAAAAGATCAAAGTTCTTTTGCTCTTCCGACTCGTTGCTCCATTATCGCGCGTGTTGCTGATCAGATTCGACACAATATTATTATTATGTAATCGTGTTGTAATCTCTGACAACTAAATTGAAGCAATTTCCATGTAGTCACCCAAACCATACAACACGCCACCACAGACGGTGCAAACTACTCGGGATTGAACAAATTCTGAGATGCACGTGGAAATCATCGTCGTAAAGTCTAAACAATTCTTGTACTCTATTATTTAACACCAACGTTGAGACATATATTCATTTCTGTTTGTTTCGACGCACCCCGATGTTGCAAATAAACATATGCTTTCCACTTGTGAGGGTGTCGAGTAATGCCAATTCATCTTATTCCTTAGGAAAATAAGATTTGCTTCCTCAAATCAACATATAGCCGTGTTTTCGGGAAATTCGTACACTTCCCGTTCGAAATTACGTTTGTATGAATGAGTTTTATGTAAGTGACGACGATATAACCATCCTCGGCTAAACAATAACTTTGTTCGCGTGTAACAGTTGCGATGAGTGCAATAGATTCGAATTGTGTTGAGGGTTTTGCTACGAAAACATCGTAAACATCGTAAACAGCACCGCATTTGGTGGTTTCACTTTTGAAGCAGAATGCACGCATCAAGCAGTAATTAGCGCAGTGATGCGGAATGATTCGGTGGTGTGTTTGGATTTGAGCCGAAGTGTGCGTGTGTGTGTCTTTGTAATCATTAGTGACACAATTATCAGTCAATTTGTGTTCAAACATAATCACGAACCGTCCGTTATTCAACGTTCAATGCTCAGATTTCAATCAAAATGGAATTTATTGGTGAGTCGGCCATAAATCACACTGGGCATTACAGTTGAAAATGCAGTTGCGATTCTATTTTTGAAATTATTGTAACTTTTTCCCTGATCTCGCTGCTATTTTCGAACGAAAACGTTGGTAAATTTGCTTCGCTTAACTCTCCCATTCGCCAGCGCTCGCATCATAAATATCCTCACTTTCACAAACATTCGCAACTGATTAGATTATGTACGGATGAATTTAGAGAGAAATTGCTTACATCATTTTCGAAGGTTTATTTGAATGCTATTTTCCATGCAAATTCATTTATATCGATTTCCATAATCCGACAGCTACTAACTCACCATATATTCAACACCGAATTAAGCCTAAATTTTTTTTTTAAATTCTCTGCCGATCTGGCTTGTTATTGTGTAAATAACAATTAACACATAAAACGGGATGCATTGCACGACGAAAATAGTAGCAATTGCAGTATTAACGGTTATCTTTACAGCAAATACCAAAAATTAGGTGAGACTGAAAATACTTTGTGTCAATAGACGTGCGCGGGGCTTCATGTGTGCCTGTGAATGTAGTGTTAGTTTGATCGTCTGTCGCAAAACATGTCAAAATATGTTACACATTTTCGTTAATCGGCCCATATGGCGTCTGTTATGAATTGCAGGACATTTAATTTGCTCGTGCTCGTGCTGTGAGTGTGAAATTGACCATTGATTAATTTACATCGATTATCTTGTCATCACCGAAGCACAAATTGTGCAGAAATTTAATGAAAATTATCCGAAGGGTTGTGAATGAGGTGTGTGCTCAACCGTACGGATGACTGGACAACGTCTCGCCGCATTTCAATCATTTAAATTATCGCAATATTTCAATGATTCGCCCACTGCACATTTGATATGATTTATATTCACAAATAAATCATACATTTCTTTTCTGGGCCAATAGTTTGAAAATGTTTTTTTTCTCCTTCTTGAAATGATTACAAAAACAACACTGCTGCTAAGGATTCCAACGAAATTGGATAATTGCACAATGGAACGATAAGAGCGTAAAATTTTTCAAGTACATAGAAATGAAATGGTCCTATTTCAAGTACACGATCGATAGCCTTTTTGCGCATTCAAGCATCTTTATCAATGGAACATAATTTATTTATTGCAAATCCTCTTTAAAAATAAAACGTTTCAATCATTCGATTCCTTCGACGAGTACATTTCTCTCTTTCTCTACATCAAATACACACACACACTCTCCTCCATACAACAAACAACGGTAGCAACAATCGACAAAAAATTATCCATTACAAATTTTCGGTACTCATCAAATCGTTCACGTGGAAAAACGACTTTTTAACTTCACTTTCGTATTTGAATTTTCAATTCAACGAGGATGACGACGACAACGGCATCGCCATTTAAACATTACATCCCAATGATATTATGCATTCATGAGGTTTGAATTGAGAATAAAGTGAACGAACAAAAAAAAACATATTTGTGAATTGAATGCAAATGCTTTGCTTGTGCCGAACATTAAACACAAAATAGTATCATAAAAGGAGCACAAAAGTTCACAAGCGATCGAGAGAGAGAGAGAGAGAGAGAGAGAGAGAGAGAGAGAGATTGAAAAAACAGTAAGCAAAAAACGAAACGTCGACCGAACACATTATTCTATTATTTGTGACTGGATGTGCTGCCGCTTGTACAAAGTACCCTTCGCCGTGTATTCCCAACCATAATTATATTCATTTAAGTCACATATAAACGGGTGAGTGTTAGAGTCATGATTGTTGTCAAAAAAGGGGTTGCCATTGAAATGAATACATTTCAAAATAGCTCGAAACTTTTTCAACTTTTTTCGAAAAATCTTCAGTTTTCTAATGAAAAAGTAGTGCAGACATTCCAAGTTTTCAACCTTTTCTAAGAAAAAATCCCCAACGAATAGATATGATTGCGTTGTACAATATGCTGGCGCTAAAAATAGAGTGGCATACCTGTTCGCTGGATTGGCGTTTGCATTAAATAATAATTTAATCTGAATTCATTTATTGCAGCATCGTTTCATCATTGAAATGATGTGAAGCCATTGGAACACGGATTTTATAACGTTAGACATTGTGTGCGACACACGCTGAATAACAACATTGTTAGCAACAATCGATATATGGAGGCGACGGGAGTAAACACCAAATTGAAAGAGAGACGCAACAACAAAATGTGGCAATAAAATTACCTTTAAACATCTTTTTATTTGATTTTAGCCTTTTGTGCAGTGCCAACATAACGATCCATCATCCTTTTAAGGCGCTTCACACACATGCCACGAGCAAGCTCGAAAATTTGCCAACGCACACAATAAATAAACACACCTAGGTTAATAATAAATTTTCTAATTGATTAAAAGTGGATCAAACGTTAGTTATTCTTCGCTTTCGCTTTCGCTTTCGCTTTCCTACCGGTTTCGGTACACTCACGGAATCCTTTAAAAGTTTTCATACGTATGCAGACAAAAGACGCACACTGGCAATAACAATGCAACAAAAAACCAAACAAATGCTCGGTGCAAATGATTTTATAAACCAAACATATTGTACAATTTCATAGCGTGTTGATTTTTTTGAATCAAACATTTGATTAATCGCACAGCGCACGTCACATAAATCCATTTCGTTGATCAAATAACAAGTTTTTGCTTCCTTCGATTTCATTTTGGCCAATTTTAAAGCGGAGATCATTTATCATCGCTTGGAAAAAGATGTTTGCTTGTTACGTCAAATAAATGTGAAAATGCCTCCGTTCAATTGCATCTTAAGGTAGGATATAAACACGGCAGCAACAACACAAGCGAAGAAACCGTCTCAATTGAATTTTCGCTTCCTTTTTGATGATCCGGCTTATTGTGTGATGATCGAATCATCGATGGCGCAGATGATTATAACTTCATTTTTCATCGATTCTCTAATTCTTGTGCAATTCTCAACAGATTTCTTTTTCGCTTCACCACGACTGACAATGATGATGGAACATTTGCCGTGGCAGAAGAGAGAAGAGAGAAGAGAGGAAATAGAAACCAAATCACACTTTTTTCCGTTTAAATCCCTGCATTTTCCATGGTGGTTGTACGCTCAGTTCGTTTTTCATTGTGATGCTGTTGTCACTGCTGTCATTGCGTACGCGCATCGGAACCCTTTGTGTTGTCAATCAAATGGCACATACTTAATTCTGTTTGGTTTCCACCTGGCCAAAGAAATAAATAACCATCTTTTGCACAACGAACGAGAAGAGGAAGCATCTAATTTCTCGTTTACCCCTCGTGCATTCGTCTTTCAGCTGTTTGTGTGCATGTGTGTGTGTGTCTGTTACATCATGATTCTGGTGTCATAATTGAAAAATATTCGATTTTTTACACTCAAAAGATAATTTCTCTTACCTGCAACCGATCATTTGTTTAGTGCTTCAAGAGAATTGTTTGTTGATGTTTTCGATTACATTGGTGAGATCTCACTTCACCGTCCTTCCAACCAAAGAGTCACACACGCTCAATTGCGTACTGTAACGGTTTGCTAAAAGCAACCAAAAGAGATACATGAACATTTTTGAATTAAGTTGTCAAACCATTCGATAGAAGACGAACTGGATTCACACAAAAATTATTTGAACTCATTTTTTCGGTTGTTGTCGGACGCTTTATTGTTGTCTGATCTAGGGCGACTACTTTTTTTTCTTTTGCTTCGTCAAAATTTTGGTGATTTTCTATTCTATACATGGATATCAGTAGTCGCTCATTTGTATTGTGTGGCTGAGCATTTTACGCTGGTGTTACGGTTGTTCGGCCGAAAGTATTCAGATACGGCTACTGTATACTGTCACCAAACATATCAAAATACAACATTT